GGGAGAGAGAGAGAGAGAGAGAGAGAGAGAGAGAGAGGGAGAGAGGGAGAGAGGGAGAGAGGGAGAGAGGAAGAGAGGAAGAGAGGAAGAGAGGAAGAGAGGAAGAGAGGAAGAGAGGAAGAGAGGAAGAGAGGGAGGGAGGGAGAGGGGGCTGTTCTGGTTCAGTAGGGAAGAAAATGCCAGACTTTGACGTTTCGAGTCGGATTAGATCTCATCTTCGGGTATTACAAACCGTTAGGATCACTTACGGACTTCCAATGCTTAAACACAATTGGATCCTCTGTTCCAATTTTACCATCTATAGAGAAGCCTATTTTAACCAACAAGTAAAGAATACTGTAAACCGTGGTATAAGTCGGGTAATTTTTTACCCATTTATTGCAACAGTAACTTAACGGAGGTTATCAATACTACGTTTCATATCCTCAAAGTACAATGCGCCATTATAAAGCAAGGATAAGTTGTCATAGACTGTTTGGACATGTCAGTAGCCCTGCCATGTTTACCCTCACTCTGGACCGAATCACTTGGTTCGACTGGTTATATATGATGACATAAAAGATTAATCATGGTAATGGCTTTACCGTTTGCAACATCTTTAATCATGTCAGTCACAGTTGCCTCTGATAGGTAAGGAATTATTGACCCGTTGGTTTGTTACTAGTCATTTGACTTAAATAGGGGAAGAAATTTGAGACAGGAGTGCCATTTATCATTATTAATGGATTGCAGTGAATCTTTTCGTGTTTCATAGATTAATTTTATCTAAACACATACAAGAGAGAAGGAAAGAAAACAAGATTTTTATCAGTATATTGAAGGTGCCTGTTACCGAAATGATCAACAAATATTTTTAAGTCATCGGTGCACTTTGTTGTCGCCATAGTTGCAAGATAGGGGATTTTAACAATAGTTTAGAAGTTTATACAATATTGATTGGTATTCTGCATTAATAATCTCAGTAGATATGGCGTATGTGCGTAACTGCCACATTCAGGAGTCCTCAAAATACACCATATTCTTGATAAGATTATTCACTGATAATTTTTCTGTGAAACCGTGCAAGAAATATTTGAAAATTTGGCTTTATGAAATGTGTTGAGTCCATTTTGGTCAGGCCAGATTTCAAAGTTTGATCAGACCAGGCCAGACACTCCTTAGCTTTTTTTAGCAGTGTGATATAATCTTCGAGTCGTTTAACCGTATTCGTGATGACAAGTGTAGTAAAGGTATGAAAGATAATGACTAACTTCACAATACAAGGGATGTGTTTGACCGGTTTTAATTATTTCTTCGTCATAAATGTAATTGATTTATTTCTGACGAAGGTAGAATTGTATTGTGAAGGTATTCATTCTCATTCATACCTTTTCTACATACGAACCGTTGTTGCTTTTGAGGCGTGGCTGCGGCATCGAGAAGGAGCAAAATAGCCCTCAGGTGCACTGCAATCTTCTGCAAATCGTTTACTCAAGAAGCCAGAGAACACAGACCTTGGCAAACTAGTCCTGGTAAACTAATATCCACTTCGGAGTCCAGTGCGTCATCACTTAACGTGCCTCAATTGATATCTTTTTATGAAACCATAGTTACGCATTTACTAACCCCCCCCCCCTTTTTGAAGCGCTTCGTCGTCGTAGTCCGTTTCTCTCCCACCCAGCTGGTGTTGTCAGATATGATCGGCCGGTTCGTGAAGACTGTGCAGGGTCCGACCCAATCAATATTCATCTATACGAACATGTATATATACAAATGAATACATGTCTATCAGTTTAGACGTGCAGATCTACCGGATAGAAGATATATAAATGTATATCTATCTGATAGATACAGATATGCATTTATTTCTGTATATATGCATGTCTGTATAGTTGGATATTCATCGGGCCGGATCTCGCACAATTTCAACAAACCGGCCGGATATGTCCAGATGCCTTCGGTTCATATTCATACCGATTAAGGTTCCGAATTTCTGTAATTTAGGGAACTGTTTCTAGGTGGTGATGGGTTTTGTTTTCAGTTTATTATTGAGAGGCTTGTTCGAAAATAGTTTGGTGTCACAACCATTTCATAATCGCAACTACAACTCCTCTAGCAAAAACTAATTAATATTTTTTTTCGCGTCACCTTTTGATAGATATATCATATGCATTTTATGCATTGCTCTTTACAATCTTCCCTGTGTTAAAGCCCACCCGGTACTACTTAAAATGGTGGTTCCCTTACTTTTATTAGCATTTTCTCTCATCAGAGAATCGTTCACCATGACCCCAGTCAATATTAAGACAAATGTCAATAAATATAGCAAACTTTATTATCATTCCCTCACTCTCTGGGTATGAACCATTGATCATAGTTGTGTATATCCATTCCAAAGAGCAGATGATTATAAGGCTGGCTGGGCATCCCCTCCCCCAACTATCTTTCATCATATCTGTACACTACCACGCCTCCTGGCCCCTACACATTACAAAAAAAAAGTCCGCCAGGGAAGCTATAACCTCCAGTCTGTAACCCACATTCGAAATCCCTCCTTTTCGCGCCACAGACGAGCGTGACGGCGGATTGGCTAACAAGGGGACGGCGCTGGCCAATAGGGTTCGACGCCGGTTGGTTCGCTCAGCCAATCGCATGATTCTGAACGACTTGAATGCCGACGATATGGACGTCGTCTCCACCGTCCAGCGATTGGTAAATAAGGCACATTTTTGCCTGTTATTTGGTTGTTGGTTGATTTTGAAGTGCTTAGTTTTCGTTACATAGCCTTTTCCTTGTCACGAATACTGTTTTAGGAGTACTGTGTAGGTATTTTAGAGTCCTGTGTAAGAGTTTGTGTCGAAGGAAATGTTGGTGCTAGGAAAGTTCAGTCACGATAAGCTTGAGATTTAACGGACAAAAAAAAATTTTTTTTTTTTTACTGTTCTACTTTTTATTGCATTATTGTACTCATGCCAAGAAAATGCCCTGTATATGAAATTTGGAAACGTAATCTGTGTAATAAGTACCATTAACGTGTCTAATTGATAATGGAAATTCACGTGTCACTATATAAAGTCTGCTATTCATACCAGTGTACACTTTTCTTGCAGAATAGTGTCATTATGTCATCCGGGATATTGGACCAATAGAAATACTGAAGAATTGGGTCCCTTATTGCTGCAACATTTCCTAGTTAACCTTCCCTCTGTACAAATAGCACTACCTACACTGAAATAGTTTAGTTTTGGTCTAGTCTGAGGGTGTGATAAAAAGGGGATATTATTATGCAACTATTTTCAGGTTCCATTTTCTTGTAGGTGGTCAGCCTTGTAGAAACTCTTGGTACAAGTTTTCACTAAGTCCATGCTGGTTTCTGTCATGGGGGAGTGGACGAGTAATGTAATTAATTTTAGATTACATAGATTCTCTAGAAATCCCTGTGTCATTTAAGAACAAAAATATTGGATGACTTGGCGGGCAAACCCGTTCTCACCTTCCGCCTCCTCAATGCAACATTCTAACGCGGGTCGTGTTTATTGCAGGTGGACCTGGGTCGGAGGTCACTTCTTAGCTGGTACTTGGATGTCAGTAGTATGTCAGGAGGCCAGCTGGTGAAGGGTAGCGTCAGCGTGACACTGAGTGCTGGCAAAGCTGGCCTCTGCACCACCCAGAATCTGGTTGTGAAGGGCGTAGGGATGACACGGGCCATCGTGTGGGGTAACGTAGCTTCTATTCATGGGATGGTCATGGGAGGCGCCCACAGTGCCGTGACCAGGGCAGTGGGCGGTGCGAATAACGTACAGAGCTTGGTGGTAGGTGGTATGAATACAACACAGAGTTTGGTCATGACTAGTGTTAGCATTACACGGAGGCTCGTTAAGGGTAGTGTTAGTGCTACACACCATCTTGCAAAGGGTGGCGTTCAAACAACACACACACTGGTGAAAGGGACTTTCGACGTGTCACAGAGCCTAGTAAGGGGCAGTGTGAACACGGCACAGACTTTGATGAAGGGTGGCATTTACACGGCGCAGAAAATGGTAAAGGGAAGTGTTAAGACAACACAGTACGTGGTGGTAAGAGGGAAAGACTCAGCACAGAGCGTGGTACAGGGTGGTGTTAGATTGACGCAGAGCCTAATGGTTAGTGGTGTGGGGGTCACGCAGAAAGTGATCAAGAGGGGCCTTGTGACAGGCCAAGGAGTTGCCAGCGAGGGATGGGAACTTGCTCACAGGGGGCTCCAGGCTAGCATGGGCATGGTTCTCGCCACACTCAGTGCCCTTTCAACTTTGGGCACAAAGTCTGCGGGGCAAATGTCTGCCGTGGTTCCTGCGTCCATCACCAATACTGCTCATGCCCTCTACGGCAGCCTCCAGTCAAGTCTGACGCCGATTCACCAAGCCCTGGAATACGGCCGCAGCGCCCCTGGCGAGATGTGGAGCAAGGTGGCGGAACTGCCGGAGAGCAGGATAGCGTCCCGCGCACAGGTTAGACCAGGACTTACCAGCGTTAAATTTATGCTTCGGAATCGTGAAACAGAAGAATGCTTGTGTGTGCTTGCAGTTGTCAGGGGCAATAGTGAAGGGGGTGCTGCTTCTGCTGCTTCTGCTGCTTCTGCTTGGCCAAGGGGACTACTCATGACTCTTTTGCTTCTGCAGGAGTGGGCGGCAGACACCTTGAAGGCAGCCACGACAGTAATCAAGCAGACAGCAGGAGGAGATGTTCAGAAGACAGTACGTGTTCTAACATCGTCAGTGGTAGGCTGATGAAGGGAAGCAAAGGGGCGATGGAAGGGGATTCGCGTAAACGAAGGCCATACAGAGAGGAGGTTACTGAAGCGGAGGATCAATCCTTGACTGAGTGCACAATCATGCGCTTGGGTGTAAACCACGGGATGCTAGCTCCTTGCCTTTAGCTTGCCTTAATTGTCCCTCCTTGCTTACTCGGTGCATTGCCTGGTCCTCCCTTTTAGAAATTTCTCAAGACATTACTGTCTGCTTTTGTGTGCCTGTAATTGTTCATAGTTACTTGTGCATATTGTAAGTAAGATTAGTTTGTTCATTTCCATTTCCGGACTGTATCTGTTAAGTAACCATCGGTTCCTTGTAGTTTCCCTCTCTCGTTTCAGATTCCAGCTAGTAGTTCCGTCCCCTCGCAGCTGTCCGGTCCAAACGGCCTTGTTCCCCACCCTGATCCTTTGTTAGAATGTGAAAAAGCTTTCTGGAATGCTATTTACATAACAGAACCCAACCACCCCGTAAAGTTGTGTAAGCAAGAGGAAAGTCAGACGCTGGACTTCAGCCTCAATTCCACGGGACTGCTCCCTGCCTCAGCCTGTGCTTCAGCTGACCGCCTCCCTAACCCTCCCGCGCTCTGCACAGACCTGCTTTCCTCACTTGCCCCCGGCCTTGGCCTGCCTCAAAGTCCGCCCATGTCCCCTTGTGAGGCATCCGCTGACACGGCGCTTAATGCCCCAACTGAAAATGAAAGCCCTCGCTGCCCCAAGTACTATCTCCAGCCCTGCGCCGACGCCGTGTGTGACCTCCACTGTGGGTCTCCCAAAGGCGTCGACCTCGTCATCAGCCTGACAAGTCCAGTAAGAAGGGTGGACTTGGAAGCCATTTGCCCTGTTGTGATGGGGACTTCTGAAAGTGCTAATGAGCCTGTCTCCCCAGGGGACGAAAATGACGTTTCAGGGGCTTCTCCTGCATCACCAACAACTGTCAAGGTCTCTATGTCGTCGTCTTCGTGTGTAGGGATCACAACCAGTCTCACTACACCAGTGCGCTATGTGGATATGGAAGCTGCCTGCTGTTGCACGTCTGGAAATGCCGCTGAACCTTACAGGGAGGTAGACATTTCTGAAGTTTTCTCACCAGACACACGGGAGGCTGAGTATGTCGACGTTGCTCTGAAAATGGAGAACCTCATTGCCGGCGAGTGGCAAGGCCTAAGAAATTTAATGGGAGTATCTGACAGCAAAAAACAGAACCAGTGTATTCCTTCAAAAATGACGGAGAAATCCTGTAGCCCTGCAGCCTTGAGCGGACCTCAGGCCTTTCTTTATCCTGATCCTTGTTCTGCAAGTAGAATTCATGCGCGAGAAAATGAGGGCAAGGAATATCTGTTGACAAACCTCGTTGTGGCAGAAAACTTCCCCGTTGAGGCCAGAACAAACCACTTCCCTTCTGAGTCCCTGAAGGATACTCCACATGCAGGGGCCAGGAAAGACCGCCCTCTAGAAGTCTTTGAAAGTCTCCTTCCCGAGACAGCAAGAGACATTTTTCAAGGAAACGGTTTCGCAGACTCCTTACCCCCGACAGCCAGGGAAAGCCCCTTCCTTACTGGGACTTCGGTCGACACCTTCCCAACAGTAGCTCTCACAGACTCCCTGCCCATGGTCACGCTGTCAGACACTCCCGGAAGCGTGTCGTCGGGCTACGGCTCGGAGGCCAGCTACTCCCCCGCCTGCTGGTGGGCGAGGCCTCCGCGCTGGCAGGACACGAACGAATGCGCAGGGGCCTTCGGCGGCGACTCCGGCGGGGACTTCATGGACCCCCACGAGCGCCACCACCTGCTCAACACCCGCCGAGCCCTGGGGGAGCGCCTGGGAGACCTTGGCTGGAGCACTACGTGGAGCCCCGCGGAATGCCCGGAGGTTTACGAGGCTCCTGGGGCGGGGGCGTGGGGGTGGCCCAGGAAGAGGAAGGGAAGGCGAGGGCGGAGGAGTGGGTGGTGGTGAGTATACCGAGTAACGCATTATAGCAAACACTTTCGTTGGGGAAACCGGGTTCACTTAGCGGAAAAATGTCCCTGAGTTTTGTTATTTGTATATACACATATATATGTTAACACTTTATTACAGATACACAATATATATATAAAGCTTCACTCAAATTGTGTAGTGAAATTGGTAATGTTGTCAAGTAGCTGAGGCTACATAGTACTAAAGTACAAGCCAGTGTTACCAGAAAATTCAGCTAGGCAGGAATGATCACATGAGCATGCAAAGACCATGCACACTGTAGATCGGTCCTACAAGTATATAATTTATGTAATGCCATCTCCACCTCATAAGTGTATATAAAGATATCAAGGTCACTGTACTACATCCCTTTGTGTGTCATTCTCTGTAATAACCATAAACTTCATTTTTGTTATAGGTTGAAAGTATGGGTACAATATTTGTTGTTGAGAATTAAAATATATATATTTATAAAATGTTTCCATTTCATACCTGTTTCCCTCGGTCAGTCATTGCGCTGTCGTCTTGCCTCTTGTTTTATACTCCTTATTTTCAGATAATTCTTATTCTACTCCACTTACTACTTCTTTCACTACCATACAACCTTGCAATGCCATATGAACGTTGAAACCTTTCATATTTTGTTATAATTAAGAACTTCTCTAAACCCCCTTTCACTACAACATAATCTTGAGGAATTTAGCCTTTGACGTGAGATGGGTGACCAAGATGTAGCGGAAGGCTTCATGATAACGATGAACTTTAAGCGAAGTGTATATTAGAATGGAATAATTAATATGATGTATAGAGGAATTTGATGCGCATACTAGTGGAGCTGTATTGTGCATGGTATAGTAATCATTTTTATCACCAGAAGCAGTTATATAGTCCGAATGATTTTAGCAAATGAATCCGTTTTAAACCCCCTGGTCCATGGTCGTTGTCGTCGTAGGAGGGGAGGGGGGGGTAGAGGACGGACACTGAGGCTCAGTCTCTCGAAGTCTCGGTTCGACCAATTGTGCACGGTCTGCCCTTCCACCTACCTTCGTTCTTTTAACTACTTTCACTTGTACCATTTTTTAGGTTCCTCTTTTTAAGCCCAGCTAAGTGGGCTCGGTTTTTCTTTTTTCCCTACAGCCCCTACTCCAACAACCTTTTCTTCCAACAGTCTCTCCAAAAATGAGACAATTTTTTTCGAAGCTATTCTGATCGTTCATGCCTTGTGAGAGTTACATCCGAGTCCCAAGCTTGTGCACAATCTACCGTGACTGACCTTACTGGCAAACCTATTCCTGCCCAGCCCCGCTCTTCCCTCAATACATGTATTGGAACATTTTCCATTTCCTCGGCTGATTGCCATGTCATGTCTACTACAAGGATTGGTCAGTCTTTGAAACGACCTGGCTGCCTGCCTCGTTTACAGTGCTACCCCCCCCCATCAGTGTCAGAAATGTTTAGCGTTTTATCCACCCCTTCAGTTATTGTCGTTCCAGAGCCCGCTGCCCTCTGTGCCCCACACATAGAGGGCAGCACGCCGTTCAAATAGCTCTGCACAAGCGAGCACGTGTACCCATTACGGTGACCCCCATCAGGTATTTTATAGCGGTGCCCTCCCTACGACTTTTGAGTGGGGAGGATCTTTGGAAACGGAGACCGAGGCCCAGCGTTGGGTAACATTCATTCCTTGGCTCTCGGCTCATTTAATTTTGCTTGGTCTTTTCCTCTTGCCCTTTCCTTTACCTTCTCTTCCTCCCTTTCTTCTGTCCACATCCCATAGTGTGAGAGCCGTGCTAAAAGGACGGAAGGCTGCCTTTGTGTCAGTCCTTACCGGCCTTCGTACTCCGTTTGCTATTTCCTCTTTACCCTTTTCGCTACCGTACTAATCTACAGCGCTCTGCATTCCATGACGTCTAAAATATTTTGTCTGAATCGTTAACTCCCTTTTAAACTTTTCACCATAATAATTTCATAGCGCTGTATGACCTTTCCTTCCTATGGACTTCGCCCCCAAGTCTCTCACCCTGTCGCTAAATCTTGAGTTCGTCGCTAATGACTTTAGACGTTGACGCGGCAGATTTTTTTCAATTAACAAATAAATATCGACGGAACACCTCAGAACTGACGAGTAGGAAGGGAATGGATGTCCTATAGTTGTGAAATCTTTAGTATATATGTATATTTAGCCACATGTTTCTCCGCAGAATGAATATTTTTTTTTTTTTTTTTGTAAACGGCACACCGGAAGGGCGAGAGGCACGCACTTCCCCTCCCATTGTAACGCAATATTAAAGGGATTTCATTCATTTCATTTTTTAGGAAATGGATTTTAAGCTATTTCCCCAAACAACATATAACCCTACAGATGGCTCTTCTATAAACACAGATGTTTAAATTGTCATGCGAGTCAGAAAGTAAAATAGAAAAAGTTCAATTGGACGTAAACAAAAATACGGCTAATCAACACCCATTACAGTACATATCCACGTTTTTTTTTATAAGCTAGTCTTGTGGCTTAATAGTGTAAAGAATTCTCGAAAATAATATAACAAAGTGAATTGAATCTTTTACCAGAACAAATAGCCTACAAATCCTAGAGAGATTTAGGGAAGCCACACGACAGAGGGTCAAGAACAGCTGACTCAGACGGAAGTGTTTCATAAGTCAGCACTTACGACGAGCGTCTCCCGCCCCCCCCCTTCCCCCAATCCCTTGCTCGTTGTCGCCGTGGAGGGGGGGAGGGGGTTCAAGAGACGGAGACTGAGGCACTAAGTAGGGGATCACCCCTACACTTGGACCCCAGCCCTCGTCGTAACTAAATTTGCAAGGTCTTTTCTTCCTTTCCATTTCCTTCTATTCATCATCCCCTACTGTCCCATCCTAGTGTGATGAGCCGTGCTGAAAGGATAAAAGGCTGGCTTTGAGTGTCCTGAACGGCCTTCGTACTCCTTTGCTCTTCTCTTTACCCCTTTCACTACCATATTAACCAACAACGCTCTGACACCTAACACATTTTGTCCTGTTCGTTAATTCATTATTACCCTTTTCGCCGCAACACTTTTATCATAGTGCTGTGTGACCTTAGATGTATCGCTATATATTAAGATATGCCGCTAATGACATTCAATATTGGCGCGGCAGAAATGTTTCAATAAATAAATACCCCCCAAAATATAGTGCGACATATTTGCATTGGGTATACAGAAGTAAAGAATATGGTGTAAAGAATGGCTCAATAAGTTGTTCATGGAATCCATACAACAATACTTCGGGAACTACAGCATAGCCATTTGTATGTAGAAAATATTTAAAGAGCGAAAGTAATGTTTATACCTTACCGCCTGTCCTACACATGCGGGTGTGATCGGCGGACAATTGCAAAGGTGATGTCACGGGCGAGAAAACAGCGAGGAAACTACCTGTTTACAGAGTAATCTGACTGCCTGTGACGTCATCTGTACTTGTATGCCCGCTCGTGTGGACAGGTCTTTAATAACAGAGGGAGCCATAACATGAGAAACAGCACGGCAGCAGAAGCTCGAGCAACGGGGCACCATCTGGTGGTTATGCTCCTCGGGAGCTCGGGCAATCTAGCGAATTACGATTTTGCTCTGAGATTGGACTCTTGTGAAAACACACACACATAAACAAGCCTCCTCTCTCTCTCTCTCTCTCTCTCACGGCTTGCACACTGATCGGCCCGCTTGTCTGGACAGGCCTTTAGACCCCTTAAATCCAGACATTTTCTAAATTGCACAACAGAATGACAATGTATAATGCAGGATACACATACACAGGTATGGTTATTATACATTTATTGGATATACATATATATATGTATGAATCAGAAAATATACATGATTTTCAATCAAAATAAAATTCCACTACCTACCCAGTACACAAGAATAATCATAATTTTGGTATTCCATTCACAACAAAAGTTACATCTGAGACTATATCAAAGGAAGAAAAGAGTATCAAAGAGAATTGAAAGGAAAGAATTATATAATAAGGATAAAGTTAATAAATTGCCACTTGCCTTCACTGATTTTGTAAATATGGAGTAAAAAACAACTTCTTGGATCCAATTTTTCCCTAGTTCAAAGTCGACTTAAAACATTGGGAAAAATACCTTACCAATGATTGATTATACACAAATATATAAATCTGTAAAATTAAAACTAAATACAAATTCACCAAAAATGGAAAAAATTCAATACAATGGCTCAACAGAATTTTGAGTGATGCAATGTGGGTGTTTCCTCTAATAAGAAGGTAAACTAAAAATGGTTATTACAGCTCTACATATATCACATGGAATCCCTTACACTTTAGGGGAAAGAAGAAAAAATGAATCCAATCTTGGCCTTTTTCACGAGCAACCTTTTTATCAGATAACTACAGACAAAGATATGGAGACATTACAAAACAGTGGATACTATGAACAAAGGGCAAGGAAAAATAGAGAAAAATACCTGTAACTGCCATGTGATATTTTCTTAACCCACAGCATATAAACACAGACTCTTGGGAAAGAACAATGACTTGGTTAATAAAGGATCGGTCCATTAAGTAACACCTCTGTAGAATCAGGTGAGGAAATTGCAAGGAAAGGAAGATCAAGAAAGTTCAAAATTCAACTTGTAATAATTGCAGCACCTGCTATAACATACAACCATGCTCTTGTTTCTTGCGTAGCGTGATGCATCCTAGAACTCACGAGCAACAGAGCGACCTGACTTTCCTCCGTCTAAATGCGTGTCAACAACCACAAAGAACCATGCACAGGTACCATGTTAAGTAACCTACATAGATTAATGACAAAAGAAACGGACTATGATATGAAAGTGAGAGCCAACTTCCTATGATCTCAACCACCAAACCTAATCTTAAAGGAAGGACCAATGCTTGTATGTGTGAATGCTGACATCCATAGCACTCTAGACACATGTGCAGTTCCTAAACAATTTGCATGCCATCCCCGACATTCATCCACATACAAGTTCCATGACTATGATTGGATTATGGGAAAATTAATAACACACAGGGAATGCAAGTTTTCCTAACCTAAGCATTGTATTTAATGCTCTTTATTCTTTATGACTTTTCATACTACATAATTACTTGTGGACCTCTTAGTACATCTTTAAGGTAATCTCCCCCTGAAAGAAGTTTCCATAATTTTTCAATAAAGCTAATTCAATTTCGGGCTAGCTGAGCATCAGGACTCCTTGGTAAAGCAGTGAAATATGTTTGTCACCAAAAATATATAAATATGAAAGTTTTTGCATCCTTAAATCTTTTTATTTTTTCTTCTAAGTCTTGAAACATCAAGATAACAACCATCTGGCTTTGCATTTGTATAAACTAAATAATTCCTGATGTAACACGAGTGATAAATCTATATATTTCTTATAATTTCTATATAACTTCTCTATACAATGATAATATTTAAATACTCCTCCACATCGGACTTGTACCTCTACATTCCTCTGCTCTTGCAAATTCTCAACTCCCACACTCAACAACCTTGTATAGTTATTTCATCCCCAATAAACAACACAACCATAATGTCAATATTTCCCACCAATTACAACCTACTTCAACCACATGGGACTTTTGTAGTACCTTCTTCACTTCTGATTACCGTGGAATAACCAGCTGAACAAACGTCATCTTTGCTTTAAATACACATGCATGCCAAAGATGCAACTCTACAGGTGGATAATATACACAGGGAGGAGCTACTCAACCCCCCCTCCAACTTTCCCACTCCACAGGTACTCCAGGTACTCCAGGTACTCCATCTACATAAAAGACAAAACTAAAAAACAAAAAAAAGGTAGTGACAACAACAAAGATTTTTTTTTTTTTTACAATGATCACACCCAAGTTCAACTCTAAAGAATGAAACTCTAATTAATTAATAATAATTAAAAAAAATAATTATGGAAAAAATAAAAAAATAAAAAAATAAAAATAATGAACCCAAATTTAACAGCAAAACCTTTGAATCCCAAGCTTGCCATGTCAACGAGAGAAAAGTGGTTTAGGTCGCGATTTCATGACTGTGCCACGATGCCGATGTGAAGTGGAGGGGAGCTGGAGGCATTGGGGTTGGCGAGGAGAGTAGTAGTGGTGTGTTGCTTCATTGAGACTTCTTGGTCGCTGCGTCGTATGAGGGGGGTGACTCGGACTGAAATTGGGGGAATGTTCAGTTTGTATTTATGAGTGAATTTGTTCGTGTTTTGCTTCTTTTATCTAACTTTTATTTGTCCATATCATTGATTTTCAGTGATTTGGAAAAAATTATTTCAAGAAGTATAAATATAAATATAAATATAAATATCTATCTATCTATCTATCTATCTATCTATCTATATACATATATTTTGTTTGTTTTTCTTTTTTTGTGGGTACACTGATATTTCATTTAAAAAAATAAGGATAGAAAGATCACTTACATATGCAGGTGGGGGCACATAAGCATACTGTGGATTGTTAGGGTCGTAGTAAGCACTCTGCGCTGCCTCCTGGGCCTTGGCATCTGTGGCAGACAAATGGAGGTGAGACTAACACTCAATATGTATTTCCATACTTGTTCAATATCTTATCCTTAGGTCTATTACATAGTCCTGGTTCCACAGTTCTGAACCTATACCTGGTCTAATAGCCAATATACTTATTTACTCAAGTGTAACCATTTGCCTCTAGTGCAGAAGTCACAATATCATGTGAACAAATATTACAGTGCTTTTGGATGTATTTGCTGATAAATTAGTTCATGAGATTACCAGCTAAATAATTAATTCACAAGTGAAAAAACACATTGCAAAAGTTTTACAAAAGCAAATGCATTGCAAAGGATTACAAAGTATACTTTGTAATCCTTTGCAAAGTATACTTTGCAAAGACAGTAAAAATGTTGTGGCACTTCCACATTATATATCATGCCATTATCATGTACAATTTTCCAATTTTATATCAAACTTTTGAAATCTGAATGCACTGATCAGACTACCTACAGATTCGTAAAATCCAGCAGTTTTCAATGGAATTTGACCATCGATGGACTTGATCTACTGGACTTTCACCCACACTTTCAATGCGATGGATACCCACTCGTCCATCGATGGACAAATGGAGAAATTGCGCATACTGAGACTATATAGTATGCATGGTATGCATTTTTTTTTCCAAAGCATAAATATTATTATATGTTTTAAATTATTCAGAATTATTCATATTCGACTTTACATCAATATTTACATTGAGATTTAAGCTACAATTCAAATGAAAAGTAAAAACAAAAGCACTGACTATGCATTCTCATTTGACTGGCAAATATAAATAAACGCGTAGCCGCCAACTTCAAGTTGAAACCGCAGATTCCCTGAATATTCGAAATGTGGAATTCAGAAGCAATTTACTCCCTCCTAAAAAAGGTTAGAACTCCAGAAACATGAAAGAGTAGCAAGAGTTAGGGAGAAGATGCAGGATTCATAGCAAGTTTCTGTGGTCATGATTTGTTTTAATGCTACGATTCCACTGGACAAAGCTGATGGTCCTCTTCGCAGTGTGAACACCTCGGATGGGTGGGCTGGATTCCAGTGACCGTACCTTAACACATTACCAGCAGGTAAATGCACTGTCCACTGTAGCTTTGTTCTGTGAATTTTATTTACATATAGATGGCTCCAAAATTGCTCAAACACCAAGATGTCAGTGAGTTCTACCTGACCTCACTTTAAGTGTTTATTTTTCTATGGCTATCAGTATAAATATTATTATTATCATCATTAGCATAATGTTATCAAAATACTACTAAATAAACTCCAAAAATAACAATAAAGGGTAAACAAGGAAGATAGGCAGAACTTGTAATGGACTCCTTGGTGACTTATCTTTTGTGGAGCCATTATGTGTAAACAAAATTAATAAACTAAAATCACAGTGAACATGCCATGTGCGTCATGACATTCAGGCATCACTTGTTTAAATTGGTAATGTAAAGCCTAACGTGAAAATACACATGAAAATACACATGAAAATACATGTATCTCTGAGATATTTCCCATTATGATAAAATTTGAAGATGTGAAAAATAGAAACATTGCTGCTTTAGGCTCTATTCACTCTCCACACAAGGCTCAAGTATATGCTTCCTTGCATAAACCAATTTACAATGTTGATGAATGCAAAGCTACAGCTCACTCTGGGACACCAACCTGCAGCTGAAGTAGTGAATCCGACAGCCCCATTGTAACCATTGTGGCCGCTCAGCCCAGGGTAGGGAGGGGGAGCCTCATACATGAAGACACCATCCGCTGAAAAGGAGAGATAAGACACGTCACCCATATGTGCTTGATAGACAATAGTCCAATGTCTTGCACATGTTAATAAAGGCATTCACCTGCATTTAATAACAGTAGCATAAACAAGTAAAGTAATTATTTGGTGTATGTATGTATGTATGTATGTATGTATGTATGTATGTATGTATATATATATATATATATATATATATATATATATAAATTGCTGTAACTAACTACGATGTACATCAAATAATAGCACAGGTACCTATAAGTAAATAGAAAAGAAGATAAACAGGGCATACCCACGTAAATATTATTGAATTAAATAAAAAAGTATATTATGAATGGTGGAGTAATGAGTAAAGATAGCAAGAGCATGGAGATGGTATTAAATATCATAAGCCAGGAACCATGAAGATAATCATTTAGAAAATGCAAGGATATTAACCACAAATAAGAGTCTATATGAACTATGTGAAAATGGGAAATTATATATGAAATATTATGTTATCATAGTTTACAGTTTAACTTTATTGGGATTCTTACAAATGGCTGTTAAGAATGAAGACAAAAAATGAAAAGAACCAAAAAAGTGTATTCCAGAAACTGTGAACAACAAAAGACCATGGAGGAATAGGAAAATGGTCAGGGAAGAGGATTAAAAGATTTAAAAGATTTAGTTTTAATTCCATTTGTTACAATGGATATTCTTTGCTGTGACATACTGTCTGTTTTATTTTGCCCAAATCTACCCGTGTGCAAAGAATGGCCGGGGATGCCACTCACTGGCCGGGCATGGGATTGAACGCAGGTCCGCAAGATTGCTAGACCAGCACCTTACCGCAGCGCCAGCACAGCACAATTTTATATCAATAGAGGCGAAGGAAGCAGAATGAAGAAAAACAAAGAGAAACAAATCATGACAAAAATGAAAGAAAAGAATAAAAGGAGCAAAATTATCACAAGTGAAAAAAAGAACGACAGTTTCTAGGACCCGACTTCTGTTCAAGTCCCCAGCCAGGAGTAGTGTTTCATCTGCGGAAAGTACTGCCATACCAGACCACACATACCTCTCGCTTGAATAACCCCTTGCATAGTACTTCTCGTTTGAGCAACATGCACAAGGCCTTATTCCCTGTTTTTTCCATAGTTTTGTGTTTCATGGTGTATAATTTTGAAGAAAGAATTGAAACTGATTTAATGATTCAAAATTATCAATGCTAGTATGATAAGCCGTCGATGTAAGTGTAGATCTTCAGTTTCAAATAAGCCATTTCTTTTTTATTTGTTTGTTAATAAAAAAATAATTTTATAATAATTAAGGCTAAATGATTTATATAAAGTCTCTAATTTAAATTTTGTCAACTTTATTGTTATTATAAATATTGATAATTTCTTTACAGACAATAGTTTTTAACTGCATCCTGGAAAGCCCGGACATATCCAAGGAAAAGGACTAGGTCTATTGCTAGGTTATTGCTGACTCTCCTCAATTCCCAGACTTCACACCAAAGTGACACCATTTGTCCAAGATGGCTGCGCTTACAGTCAGACCTGTGCATACCAAGGCCAGTTGGACCACACCTTAACCAAACTTCCAATCACATAAACTTTAAGATGCTAATCTAACAGCCTATAACACTTTTCCTTATATGATTTTAAATTACTGATAGAAATCTAGAAACCAAGAGCTGGAGTGATTTCCTTTTCAGAGCCACTACCTACCAACATCCCCAATGAAAGCCAAACCCTGCAGAGTAACAAGAGAAGACCAGAAGCATGCCCTATGTTGAGCCTCACCTGGTGGTCGATCAGGGAAGGTGGCAGTAGGAGGCACCCATCCTGCATAACCTCCTGTGGGTGGGGCATAAGCTGGGGGAGGAGCCTGTGCCCATGGGGCTGATGGGGGGGTGTAAGGAGGTGGGGCATCTCGGAAGCTGGAGTCCATGTTGCGGGTGGCTGCCAAAACATAACATGATTAAAAGAACATTTCTCATAAACTTCTGAAGGGTCCAGTGCCAAAGACACAATGGGTAAACTGCCACAAAAACAAATTAACATCGGCTGCAGACTATATGATCACTCACCGAGAGAGGCGACCTTGAGCATGGCCTGACCAAATTCGATGGCTCCACCATGCTTGAAGGTGAGCTTGAACTTGGCCTCCCCTGACCAGCCTCCATGGGGCTGTGCCTGCACCGTCCCTTTGATGTAGTTGGCTCCGAACACTGGCTGCTCCAACTCAACCTGAGGATTCCAGACAAGATATAGTTCAAAGCTACCTGCTATGGGGTTCTATATTTACTTTGGTGTGTGTGCATGCACATGCAAAAAATGCATTCATTCAGTCTCCTTCTCTTTCTGTCTTTCTGTCAGTCATTCACACACATAGACACAGACCCACAGATACATCTACAAAACACAAACACAATAACATAAATACAAACACACACACAAATAAAAATCATATCAAATAAAGAAATTATCATACTGAATGCAAAGAAATATGCACAGGTAATTCTTATTAACTAAAATTATACAAAGCCAATGAATAACAAGAAATCTAGGAAGCTTTTAAAAGCTTGAAAATATAATTTCTAAACAGAAAAATAACTAGAAGAGCTAAACAAAACAAAACAAAAAGAGAAGTTAAGGATGCCTCACTCCCTTGAGCGAAAAGAAGGGCGACGCGAACGACTGAAGCTTATCCTTGGCATCCTTGTTGTTGAAGATGATGCGGTGTGTGGTGAGGTACAGCCGGCCAGTCTTGGAGCCCTTCATCTCAGGTGGGAGGTTGCCCCCAAACTCCATCGACACATGGTCACAGAAGAGGATGATGCTGCCAGGAGGAGAAAAGGGAATGTTTCATTTTCTTTTCATTTCATTAGTTATTTGTTGGTATGTGTAGTATGTATGGGCAAGGTGTGTGTGTGTGTGTGTGGGGGGGGGGTTCAATACAAAACAAAGCATAAAAATAAAAGAAAGTTGGGAAAGCATGTATGCATATGCTTCAACTAATGCATGCAGGCAGTTTACAAAAATGGTTCTCTTTACAAACTCGGACAAAGTCTACCTATCTTTAATAGGTATTTTTTAAAATTCCTAATGGTGCTGTGATACTAAACCTACACATGAAATTTCATAGATAATGTTGGATGATGATGCACATTAAGATGAGTAAAAATAAAACAGATAATACTTTAATGAGCTAGTTAAAAAATAAAACAATAGATACTTTAATGAGCTAGTTAAAAATGGAACTATTTTAAGTGGACATTACATGGCATGTAGAGAAATATAAATTTCTTTGTTACTTCTGTTGATCCTGTTTAATAGATATGTACAGCCATAAATGTAACTGTCCAGAAGCTAACACTAGTACTTAGTAAATTAGTTTCATAGACTAAGTAATATATCCTACAGAAATATAATAAGATTATCTGTTTATATCCTCTGAAACCGATTACTTGGATGAACTCAAAATATAAATATGGGCTATCTTCTTCTTGTACATGACAAACAAATTCAGTTTCTTGGGAGTAATTTCTAAATATGACATGAAAGCTTACCATTGCCAGAGACCATGAAGGTGCCTGCCTTTTTTCAAGTGCCTATAGATCTGAATTTCTGCAATATGTTAAAAATTTTCCATACACTACACTCCTATAAGTAAACAGTATTTGAATATAGTCGGTCTCATATTGATGGCAGGTAATCAATGACTTCCCATTACTGCTCCTGAGCTCCTGACTTGTCTATACAAAACCACAAAACCTCAGCTCAAATCGCCCTAAGGATTACAATGGATCGAAATGTGCTGCAAACAACTACACTCTCTTCTTTGCAGGTAGTCAACTACTTTGCAATAGCATGGATCATGTCAATTGTACACAATTGATCTCAGAATTCTATATGCATTGGCTCAATGAAGAACAATCTTTTCCCTAGAAGCTGTAAAATAACCTGGGGATATCTTGAACATGGACATTTCGATGAGCAGTGAAAATTATGGCATGTTTTCTTGCTATAACCTAGCCTAGCCCGTAAAAGTATCTTTTAGCATAACACACTGTGCGGTCTCACATAACGAATGATGTTTTTGATGTAAGTCGTGTGTGGTGCCAGAATATGGTAGGCAAAATCAATTAATGCTTGAAATTGTTCAGCTCATTATTTTTTCATTATCTTCAGATACTGTTCTTATGATGCATCTTTGCATGTCTCAATAACTCATAAATAACTCATAAATAACTGATGATGTTGATAACAATGAAAATAACTATAATAATAATAGCAAAATAATAATAATTAACAAAATTCAAGCAAAGATTATTAATACATGAACAAAAGGACATTGAATATAACCATTACATTTTTGGTTATTTATGAAATATGAAAATACTGAGGGGTTTTAATGTGTTCCCTTATTCTTGTAAGGAGGTTAAGAATTTTTTTTTTGTTTTCTTTGAAAATTAGTGAAAATTTGAAGGCTTACATCTTCCAAGGTATGAAACGTTAAGAGGCCTATTCCTCTCAAATGAATATCATGAAATTCATACTTGAAGTGAAATTGATACCTTATAAATTAATTACAAAACAATTCTTCACCTAAGATATTCCTTAAAATGTTATAGTTTACTAATATCTTTGAAATAAAAAAAAAAGACAAAATCTGTATGGAGACTCATCCTTTAACGGCAAGTAAACATGTTTCCAAATGATTATGATAAATATTTAGAAGAGGACCAAAAATGGGACTATTTGTAAACATATTGGTTAATTCAAATCAAATCAGATCATAAAATACTGTGAGTTCTAATGGATGGCCTACAATATAAGTAGCTTTTAATCAAGTAATTGTTTGCTGCTGCTGGTATGAAAACTCTGGATATGTATATTACTGTTTTCTGGCAAGATAGGTATGACTGGTCTCGCTGGAATGTGTGTGTTGAAGATTTGCCGCCTTTCCTGAACTTTTTATCCCTCCCACCCTTTTCTACTGTTACATAACCCATTGGATCCGGGTGCCTCTCAGTTGCGCTTGGATAAGTGGCAACTCTCCCAGGTATGTGGTTTGTAGGCCCAGCATTTATAAACACTCACCCATGGTATCAAGCATCTTGCCTCTTTTTTTCCAATTCTATTAGCCCTTTTTCCGCAAAATATTTTTGATGTTTTGCCATTTTTCAGGGTCCATAATATCTTTCCACTCTGTTCAATAATAATTACTAATGGTATTATTGTCCTATTTCTGTCAATGATCCCTGGGTAAATTTCTTCCCCAAGACGAGATGTTCCTGTAAGCCCTCAATCAATTTTTTTCATGACAAGATGACCACATCATCTGGATCCAGTGGATAAAACCCCTCATAAACTGAAGAATTATCTGACGCTAACCAAAGGATCTTCCAATCCTTCTTAACACTGTAATATCAATAAGGTTACTAATGGTAAACATACACCTGTATATACCCTATATTTCTGTTTTTTCCCCTTCTGTACTTCTAAGAATATAAAGCTTTGGCACAAAAGGCAAAAATAGGACCACATAATATTTCCTTACTACACAGGCTCTTTGGAATCTCATAACTACTTTTTTATGCAAATTTTTATCATAAAAGGAAATGGTAGGATTCAATAAAATATGTGGTCGAAAGCATCCTTGGCTTTGACAAAATCCAAACACTCAACATATCTATATCAATCATTCTATAATCTTCATGGCAGCTGTAGGTTCCTTTTACACAGTAACTGATAATCATTCAATATCTGCACAACTCTAACCTGTGACAGATAAAGAAAATAGTGACATCATAGCTCTGTGATTATTAGTACGACAAAGTTGAATTTGACACATTTTATCCTATCACACATATCAAAGAGTGGCCATTTATTTGATTCATCAAACTATAAGAAACATAATTCCATAAACAAAAAACAATCATCTATGGTTTCTTTCCTTGCCCTCAAGCTTCCACCAAGCATCCCAAGGTCGCAACTGATCAATACTAACAATCAATACCAGACTTCCCACACACTTCTCTCTTCTCCAGAACCTGAATACATAATACCAGCCATTAACAGTGTTAATGGAGACTTATACTGTTCAAGCTGCAAAAAATGTACACATCTGGTCCCTAGCTTTTCTTTGGCAACTATTTTCACATCATACAACAATTACACTGCCAATTTGGGGCATTTGTTCCAGATATACAGTGCTACTTTCTACATTTTTTAAAATTTTCATTTTCCTTACCATTATTTTCAAGAATACCACAATTATCTTTAGACATAGAACCATCTACAATAACTACTGGTATAACCATAATAATTGCTTACTCAAGAAACTATTATCTTAAACTCGACTGGTCCGTTCAAGTTCTTGTCATACTGTGTATATCACAGTCATGAGCAACAATTAAGTTCCCATAATTACCGCAAAGAATTTATCATAAATGTTTTATAAACAATCGGAAGTGAAGGCCATCAGGTTTGACAAAGCATGCACAACACTTTCTTGCCACTCAGTGTCCACAAACAAAAATTATCCTGGCTGTTACAGTTATCCTTTGGGTTAGTGTGTAGGTGCTTTGGTATCATCTGCTTCAAAAAGCTTACTGCATAACAAGTCAGTATTGTACAGCTGAAGTTAATACCTCAAAGCCTGGTGCAAATATTTCAGTAACTTCTAGAATATTTTGAAACCCATCCAATTTGGTATCACTGGACTGCTTATGATATTTAGTATGTATTCATAGTGGTTTTGGACAGTGGTAGGCTACAATAGTAACTCAATATATGAGGAGGGTATGAGCTATCATCGGAAAATGGCACAGTTAGATTATACATTAGGTTAATATTTATTGTCTATTCAACAACTTAGGTTGTTGAATAGATTTTGTGATGCAGAGTTGGGTGTCTGGCGAGTGTGTCTACTGTAAAGATTTACCATACATCATTTAGGTATTTCTGCTACTGTTTTAGGGTTGTGTGCCCTAAAACTACCCTTTGGGGGAGGGGCAGGGGTTGCTGCCTTTCATCCTCTACCTGAAGTGCAAAATCTCCATCACATCTGACCTGAAAGATGGCCCAGACAGTTGTAAGTGATGCACATTATGCATGACGTTACAAACCAGCTGAGGTAAAGGTAACCTTCTCATACTGTACAGCTACTGCAAAAGTTCTGGGAGTTTTCAAATGTTCTTATTTGGGCCAATTTGAAGTCAACCTACTACATCTAGTTAGTAGACACTGTTAGTTCATTATTACCAAACTTGAGATTGAACAACTCTCCCTGACAATGCAGTGAGCCTCTGTTGTTGTCTATCCATATCAATATGTTACTGATTCATTCAGTCATGTGTTCTTGAAATTTAGGGAAAATCGAAGGACATGGTCAGTGAGAGAGAGAAAAAAAACACTGATATGTGAAATAAATTGCACATGCAAAAAAATCAAAAACAAGAAAATAAAATATGAAAAATGCCAAGCGGAGGCTAAGTTCATGATGATCAGGTGGGGGTCCAGAGGTGGAGCCCCTGACTAGGTAAAAGGGGCAACTGGGTGGAGGTCCAGGGTAGGAAGGTTCAGGTTTAGTTAATCTCTACGGTATGGACACACTAAGGCAAGGCAAATTGAAGATGATATTCCTGTAGAGGACACAAAGTTGTAACCATTGATACAAGAAATAATTTGCAGACACAAAACTGTAATGCCAGAAATAATGGAAAAATTTCGCAAAAAGAGCCACTCACATCCTGAGTATACTTTGTGCTCCCGAGTTTCAGCTCCATCTTGCTATGAATATCAAGGTGAAGACAATGTTGCCCAAGGGTTTTGGGGGTCAGAGCCCCCTATCAATACTCCCCTTAGGCAGTGCCCAAAGGAACGCCTGGTCACAGCTATTTAGATCATTGAATAAATATTTGTGACATGAAGTTTGAGACAGTCTCTGGCGAGGGATCCATACTATAAAGAATTACCTCAAGTTCATATGTGATGTTTGTGGAATTTCTAAGAGAAACTGGGACTCCATCTTAGGGGGTGCTGTCACTTTGAAAACAATGACTACCAATATCCTGTCCCAAAGTATCAGAAAAATAATTTCCTCCACCTTTGTTGTAACATGAAGCAACTATACTGTATCAAACCAGAATGTAGATTATTTAACTGAACAGAATAAGGGGTTACAAAAAATATCAATCTTCTTGTAGTTGGATGAAGCAGCACTTTCTTTTCTATGGCCCAAAATACAGCTGACATCAACAGCCGAAGGGACTGACACGAAATGAGCGAATTACAAAGTAAACGAACCAGAAGATTGAATCTTCCTTTCAGAAATAAGTAAAGTGTAGGAATGAATAAAATCACAATTAAAATACTGACTAAACCCATATGTAAACCAGTAAACCATGGCCTGCAAATTGACATCGATGCTAAAAGTTTCCTACAGCTTTGCGGATTCTGAATTCGCAGGAAAACTTTATTTCTTCTTCTAACGGCAAACGAGAAGTGAAATATGTCTTTAGGTCTATTATCAGAAGATATATTTGCAGAAATATGGTCGAGATAAGTTTCAAATGAAGATAATGTCTTCTGTGAACACGAAAATATCCGACACACCCACCACATTTTCAAGACAAATGTTTCTCCATATCAAAATCCGACTTGCTTATTTCTATGCGTGTGCGTACTCTTAAATCCTTCATTTCACTAAAATATAAACTTTGGGGTGAAACAAATGCTAACTCACCATTCTCCAGCGTAAATAAGGACACCTTTCCCTGCGTGTGCACTGTTCAACGCCATGTTGACGACTGATTATGTGACGCCCTGCGCATTTTACAGGAGTGTCATCTTAGGTTGTCTTAGTATCCGGCCACAGGTCTCCATCCAACAGGAATTATTATTTGTATAACATTAATGATTTTTGTAGTGTTATTATTCTTAAATTTTATGCTAAAGTGTTTTAAAACTCATTGGGATAAAATTGTTAGGCTGAAATTTCTGTTATCCATTATCCTAATTTATCTATTGCATAACTATGTACGTATCTGATGTTATACACTCTCCATTTTCGGTATCTATACCAATAATTAGAAATGGCTTGCAAATATCCGCATCACATATTATTCCTGAATTCATACTACAGCATCTGAAATAAGATTATGTTATGTATTCGAAAGGCCCTAGATTTGGCATCAATTTAACTTTAAAGATTTATCCCTGCAATTTCTTAGGCAATATAAATATTGTTTAAATAAGAATGATGATTAGAATACTTTAAAGTAGTACACCACTAGTGATAGAGAATGTAATCCCATGTTTTTCACAGAAATTCCCACGATGCTTGGAACTCAACACAAACGAACAACCTTCGTCAGCTGACAATGACGTCTTGAACTTCCGGAAAATACTGGAAGAACGTGCTTATTGCGCAACATATCCTTAACTAAAAAAAGAACATATGAAAAATAACTTATATATGTGTTCAGCTCATGCCATATAACCGTATGATTTTAACAAAGCAGCTGCAAATTTATGGTCTATATAGGCTCAATCTTTCCTGAAGAGATAATGGTTATGAATCACTCATTGTCCTCGACGTCACAATCCCTCCTTATCAAATCGATCAGATGATGCATATCCCTGAAATATACTTAATAACACCTGTTTGCATGCTCAATTAATGCAGGTAGTTGAATGCAAAGCACCCTGGAAAATTACGCATAGGAAGAAAAGAATGTACACCAGAAAAGTAAAATTGCATAAGAAATAACAGGAACCTTCAGTATTTAAATA